CTGCGAGATGAGAAAGCACAAAAATTCTGGAGAAGGAGTTAAGTTAGTAATATGCAATAATAGGACATGAATGAGAGAGGAGCTCAGTGCATTTTAAGCTTCAATATGATTTAAACAGGTGAGTTGTATAAAAATGTACCCCCGTCCAGTTGAATGGGGAAATTAACTAAAGACCAAAGCCGTTTTACGTACAAGGCTTTAAACATGTTTATTTCTGCTATAATGTTGGCCATTTTAATATTGAGCCTAATGGAGAATGACTTACTGCTGGAGCCATCCTAAAGTGGCCATTAGAGAAACCGCAGTTTTTGGTACGTCCGTGTTGGCTTCATTTGTAGCTACAGAGGTTGCTGCTTGGACACAACAGAGCTAAATTCTAATGCCAGTATGCTATGGCTCACTATAAAAATGTTAACATGCTGACCTTCAGTAGTTAGCTTCAATGTTAATCATCATCACCATCATTGTTTAGCGTATCAGCATGCAGAGGCTGATGGGAATGTTAAATTATCTTTTAGTAATCCCAGAGAAATTCATTCTCTGCATTTAACCTATCCTAGGTAGCCTTGGTCAAGAGCACTGACTGGAGTCATTCTCCAACATACATCCTAACATACATGTTTTGATGATGGGGGGAAACTGGAGTACCCAGAGGAAACCCACGCAAATGCTCTACACAGAAAGGCCCTGGCTGAACCGGGATTCAAACCCTGGACCTTCTTGTTGTGAGGCAACAGTGCTAAACATAAATTAAGACATGATGATGGTGCTAGATGAAAAGGCTACTACAATTACTACAATTCATCTTAAGGGGAATGGATCCAAACCAAATGTTCTGGCAATACATCTGTCTTGTCTACACATTTTACTCAGAATCACAAAAGTCAACCTCATAGTCCCATTTTGTAGCAAATTAGTTCTGGTTCTTGAACTACTTTTGTTCAAGATTCTTGGAACCTTGGTTCTATCTAGCAAACCAGCCTGCATTTCCGCGAGTTTGGAGTGGAAGCATTGTAATTGGATACATCATCAACAGAAGGTGCTGCACAGAACGACCTCTAGAATACGACTTTGGTTCCCAAGGAAAATCTGATATTCTTTGGTTCCCAAGGAAAACCGGATATTCTTTGGTTCCAACAAACCAACTTTTTCAGGTTCTGAACAAAGTTATTTTTGGTATAAAAAAAAACACCACCATCCAGTGAGCCACTGATGTGGATAAAAAGATTTACAAATATGAATGATCATTTGTGGTATTCACAAATGTATCTTCACATTACTTGTACTAATTTATCCAAAAGCACCCTGTTGTCCCAGTCTGAATATTTCTCCTCCTGTCATTAGTCTTACCAGTTTATACATACTGTATGTACAGTACACATTGAAACCAATATTGGGGAGAAAAGGTTTGATAGTCTGATAAATCATGTATTATAATGTATTTAGCAAAATAAATGTATGTGAATTATTTGTGCTGTGTAGAATGGGATTGGAGAAACAATTTTGTCTATGACTTCAAATTTGTTGATCTTCTATTGATAGTAGTACTATTTCCACTGTACATCAATCCAAGTGTTGTGCTACAAAAATACTTTCATATCACACTATAAGCTATGATAAAACTATAATAGGTAGCCACAGAATGACGTAAACAGTAGTGGGAGGAGGACTTAGATCCTTTATTAAAGTAAAGCTATCAGTACCACAATGGAATAATAATACTGCATTCAGAGGTTTATGGAAGTAAACGTATATAAGTATTTAAGGTCAAATGTAGCAAAATATCAGAAGTACAAGTACTCATCGATGTTTTCACGTTATATTGTATACTGCTGTATTAATATGATATACTGTAAATATCTAATTTCTCCACATTCTGCTGGTGTTAAACCAAAGGAAACACAACTATGTTTATCTTTTGGCCAGAGCCCCACCCCTACTTATGTTAAGTAGACTAAACATGTCCTGACTCCAGACCCTTTACTTAAAAGAATAGCTCAACATTTCGGATAATACAGCTATTAAACTTCTTTCTCTGACTAAGATGCTCACATTGATCTCAGTCTCATGTCTGTGTATTAAAGCTACAGTAGATAACTGCTAAATACTTTGTAGTACATGAGACAAATAATGTGTGGAAAAATCTGGATCCTCTGGCTCCTCCTAGTGCTACTAATGGCATTTGCAAGAATCCACCGTGGTGGTTCCAAAGTTTCAGGCTACCAAAACAAGGTGCCAGTAAGTTATTTTTTATAAAGTTTATCAACTGCAGCTGAAGTACAGAGCTGGTGTCAGGATGCTATTAGCCTAGCTTAGATTGGAAGCAGGGGTAAACACCTATCCTGAAAAATACACCTACTAACACCTCTAAAGCTTACTGACTAACAAATTGTATCTCGTTTAATTCATTCACAAACAGAAAATGAACAGGGACTATTTGTGGTTTTAATCGAGTTACGTGTTTGAACTATATCTTGTTGGACTACAGTCAGGTGTGTGATGTGTCCAGCTTCCTAAAGTCTTGCCATCACAGTGAGGGTGCCAGGTTTCATACCTGGTCAGAGCAAAACCTGTGCTCACTGACCATATTTAGCAATCCACACTAGACTGAAACTTTTCTTCATCAAGAAATATTGTTCTGCAGATTAAACTCTTATAGAGGGCAACAAATTAATACATTTTTTTGAGTTAACCAAATGTGTCCACCAGGGTTTCATTCTGTGGCCTATTTTGTCTTTATAAATGACTTAGGTTAGGACTTTCAAGCAAAAATACACCTTTAAGCTGATGACACTGTAATTTATACTCATGGTCACTCCACAACACAGACTTCATTTCAGTCATTACAAACTCTCTGCTTAGTCTAAAATTGGTTTTAAATGCTCAGAAAAATGTTAATGGTCTTCTCTAAAGCTACTTAAAGTATGTACTGTAACCCCTACAACCACAAAATGGTGTTTCTGTTTCTGTACAACCTAAACTAACTAGATACAACATGTGAATCAGTGGGCTTGGTAGGAATAATTTTGAACTTTAGACAGAGCCAGGCTAGCTGTTTAACCGTTTCCATTCTTTATGCCATGCCACGCTATGTCCCGACTCCAGTTCTGTAATTAACATACAGACATGAAGTTGACATCAATCTGAACCTCTTACTGTCGTAAAGAAAGCATATACAGTTTCTCTAAAGGTTTGAACTATTTCTTTAAGGCACAGAAACTGATATCCATTCTCAACTAACTTACTAAAAAAAAGTAAATAGAATTTCCAAAAATCCTGACACATTTCTGTAAAAGGAGGAAAATAATGTGAAAGAAAACACAGACTCATCACTTGTCTTTACTTGAAATACAACAAATAAAGGAAGGTTTGTTCATGTTCCCCCATCTGGAGGTCCAAGGCATTACCAATCAAGCCATGATAAAGCAATCACTACAAATCAAGCACAGAGAAAGATTTAATGTACAGAGATAAAGATTTGCATCACCGAGTGCATATTAAAATAAAATTATCTTTGAAGCCTACACATTTCTAGTATCACACTGGCTACTTTTAAACTCTAGCAGTGCATCTTATTTATATTTTGCATGTAACAACGTTAGTCTTTAAAGAAAGTAGTTACTACAGCTGTCAGGTTAATGTAGTGGAGTAAAAAGGACAATATTTCTATGAAATGTAAAAGTATAGGATCACACAAAATTACTCACATAAAATACTTAAAAACTAGTATACTAAATGTACTTAGTTACTTTTTATCTCTTGGCTTAACTAACCCAAACCCGCATTACTTCTTCAGAACACAGCCATCTCAACCTCTTATTGTGTTAAAAGTAAAGTTGTTAGTTTTTTTCTGAGAACAAAACATCGTCTTATTTTCAATGCCACTGTATACTGATGTACAAACTGTTCTACATGTCATCTGTGAAATGGTTCAGCTTTGAAGAAACATTGTCGAACCGACAGAGAAAGGCTTATCTCACATGACACTGATTGTTTCAAGATGTGCGACAAGAACATTTGTTTTTTCAATAAAGTTGGTGCTACTAGGAGATGGGAGCTTATCTATTATTGCCAAAGACAACTAAAGTGCATGCTGCTTTACCCACTAACTCAATGGCTTGTACAGTAATCCGTAAAACATACATTAATATAACACTTAAACCTGTAATACTTACAGGGTTTGCAGCACAATGTGTTAGCATTTTATTCACTTGTATACAAAGTATACAATCATCACATTTTTCAAACAAAGTGCTATAAGTAACCAAAAAGACTTAATAATTCAATTCAGTGTCACATTCAACCACTGGTTATATCACCTTTGACTTTTGTTTGTGTGCTATATGGGACTACTGTTAAAGGAAAAAAGACAAACATTTAATTCATACATAGACTAAGTTTTGAACTAAAGTTCCAATTAAAACTAGAAATTTGCTGCTTTTTCATAATTTTTTTGCAAGCTAATTGACAAAGATGTTTAGCAGTCATGAAATTTGGCACACATTTAGCACACAATGCTTCCACATCCGGTGAAGAAATACTATGCATAAAATCCAGAGTATCTACTGCACATTTTGTATATTTGTGCATTAGTTTATATCAAAGTCTGACGTAAGCATAGGCATCCAGCACTCTGGAAACCTGGAAACACATCTGACTTCATGGCTGGACATACTTTACCTGATTAGTAGGATCTGGGGGAACTACTGGGTTCTCTAACCAATCTTTAAAGTTGTTTAACCTTTTTGTTTTTTTAATCCAAGCTTTCTTTTTTGTTTTGCTCATCATCAAATACATCCTCTGTGTTAGTATCCCTGACTTGTACATGCTGGTGATGCGAGCCCATATATGGTGTGATAAACCCATTCTAAATGATACTTTATTAGACAGTGGTGCCAGGCTTTAAAAGTTGTTACTAATGGTTTGCTTCATGGTTAAAGCAACATTTATAAAGCAGTAATAAACAATTTGTACAAAGGACTTTTGGATTATTAGGTTGTGAAATGCCCTCTTGGCTGGTGTATATCCAAAAAATTTAAATATTTTTACCTGGTGGGGACCTCTATTGAGCATGTGAATTAGGACTTAGTAGTGGTAAAGGATGGGGTAACAAAGGGTCTTTCTTGACACAAGTGATTTGAATTGGTTTAGTATTTCCTACCAACTTTCTCTAAATCAAAATTCTCTTGATGGAGACTAACCTTGACATAGTATCTGTTTTTAACCCCAACCACTGTATTTCCACACTAACCAAGTAGCTTCCGTACCTAAACCTAACTCTAGCCACAGAGATGGCTGATCAGGAAACGTCAGATGGATAATTTTCGTTACAGTGATTTGTAACAGTTTCAGAAGGTAATGACAAATGCTGTCAACCTGCCAGTGGGGGCTCAATATCAGAAGGTACTACTGTGGAGATATTACGTATTTTGCTTTTGTTTGTTTTGTTTGGAGAACTTTCTGACTTGTCTTCCCCGAAGGAAAAGAGAAACTCATGACCCTCTAGCTTAAATTATAGCTCCACAAAGACACATTTAAACATCTCTGCAGAGCTAAGCAGAGTAGAGCTCCACTGTCAAAATCCTTACGAGTGTAAGTATGAAGAGAGACCATGGCCAAGCACTTTTTCTTTTTTAACAGCCCAGAGAAGTGTGTCCCAGTCCTCACTTTCTAATAAGCCATCAAAGCTTAAAAAGCTGCTAATAAACTGAGTTTAATAATCTTCAGTCCCTTTCCAGAAAGTACATGGTAAGTGTGCTAAAGAGTGCAAATACTAAATTTATTATGCAAGAAGATCGTATACTGTACACTAAATGGGTTTTCACAAGCAACCCAAATGTGCTTCTTACTGAGCTATAAAGCATCAATAAATTATTTATTAATTAACAAAGTTACAATGTACAAACCCTTTACAATGTAATATTTTAAAGTCAAAAATGGTATTCAAAAGGTTTAATCCATGATCTTTTTTGGGCCTATGTTTATCCGCCAAGCAACAGCTTTTTTACTGAATCTATAAGTGACATTATTAATAAGCATCCTGTATGTGAAAGTGGTACTGAAAAATGCACATCCAAGGACTCTTGCCCCTTTTTGCTCTATGTTCCAGTTGAGCAAGCCTCGATTAGAACCCTGGTCAACTTTCTTCTTCCCTGTGCTTAGATATGCTATGTGCTAAGCTTGTCTATGTCGGAAAGACAACCACATTTTGAAAGATGGTTAAAAGATAAAAGAGACATGTATAGAATCAAGTCAGGTTAGCTAGTTAATGTTAGAAAAACGCAAGCTAAAAAGTTAGCTAGTCTACATCTATCGTCAGCTATCTAGTTATCTGAAAACTTATTAGCTAGCTAACAATTGATGTAGATTAGCTCGCTCATTAGTTAATCTTAGCTCACTTAAGATGTGACCATATAATCTTTGTCACTTATGTCACTATATTTGAACCATTTTCAAAATTTGGTATCTAAATAAAGGAAAAGAGAAAGTTGGCCGAGGTTCTGAAAGGGGCAGGAATTAAAAAGGGTCAGTCAAAATCTGGTGCAATCAAAGTGCCTCAGGCTAAGTAAAAATAATTCAATCACAACAATATTGTAGGAAACTAGTAAGCCTTAGATCGAATGAAGTTTTTATGATCACATTTTAAATTATCACTGAAATTCATCAAACCACATTTGCTGGATTGATCTCAATCTGCAGAACTCAGTGACTCAGTTTTTTCTTCACCTTAGGCACTGGTGTTAGATGGAATTCTGACCAGCTGAAAGCATGTACATTAAGGACTTGGATATGTAATGAACAATTTTGATTATTATCAAGGCAAAGAAATACAGAATGAAACTTCTGACAGATTCATTTGCATTCCAATGCCAAATAGTTTGGAATGACCAAACGCTCCTGATCCATCATAATGAAAACATCCAAAACATGTCATGTGATGATGACTGGGTCAAGTTTATAGAATTTTTTACTCATAAAACTTCCTTAATCCAATACAGTCTGGTAGTACATATAAGTTCATAGCGTTAGAGGCCAAACAGTTAGACTGATGATACCAGAGGAATAATTTTTCATCTTTACACACAAATAAACTATTTCATCAATATTCAAACTATGCAATCGTCCCTTTTTTGTGTCTTTTGTGTGCATGTGGTAGCCAAACAATTTGGAGTGTTAAAACTCAGTTGATGAGGCATGATAAAGCAAAAAGTGTGTTTTTGATGGAACTTAAAATATTAGCCTAAATTAACTGAAACCGAACAGGTCAATGTATTAAAGTTACCATGACCCAAGCAGCTCCATGGGTAAAAAGAAGTTTGTTGGTACAAAAAACCTCCAGTATTACGGGTCAAAACTGAACCGTAAGGCCTCAGTATGCTTTAAACAAAGTACTTTTCTAGAACACCCTTCTGATATTGTGATTGTGACTGATGTGAAACGATATCCCCATTTGTGTGCTTCATCACAACCAGACTACAAAGACATGCAAAAGACACAGAACTCTTGAAAAGAGATCTGAGAGGCAGTAGATTGATTTCGAGAGGATGTGTTGCCATTCGTAACAGGTATAAACACAGCACAACCTTCTTCATTTGAAGAATACTGAGGGCTTCAGATAGATGAAGCACTAACCAGTTTTACAATGAATTGTTGATTTGTAGATGGGAAAGAAAGCCATGAATAAATGATCCCAAAAAATCCCAAAAAAAGGGAAGAGCTGAAGGAAGCATAGCATAGTTGCAAAGTGAAGTGGCAGCAGGGCGCATTGAGTGAACATTGAAAATATAAAGTTTTATTATTTTTTAAAAGTGAGGAGATCAATGATGAGTTGACAGGTTTGTCAGAGATAAATCCACAAATTTGTTTCCTAAGAATGAGGCTATCATAAGTTTTTGGCCATTCAAGTGTTAACATTAAGTCTGGCATCACACAAGCTCCAGTGACTGTCCAGCGCAACATACAGTATTTACATGTATTACATATTATTATGACACGACAACAAAAAATAAGTTAATGAAGATATCCCTACTTGCTATGTTAAAAATAAGGTTACGGTAATGTTAAATGTAACAGAGGGTGTATTTGATTGTGAGGAAAATATCCAGCTAATTGTACAGAGTATGTCACAAAGATTATTCAGCTGTGCGTGGGGGCGGGGGGTGGAGGAAAGGGGCTGCATATGTACATTTCTTCATCACTGGATAAAGGCTTTTAAAATCTTTATCTTCCTAGACATCAACGTCATACAGAAGGCAGAAGGCATGGGTTACGACAATTGTTGGTAGTTGTTTTCTTGAAAGCACAAGAAAACCATGTTCTCAAAATGAACAAGCTTTTTTTATGTGATCACAAAATCAACAAAACTGACTTCTCATGATCATTACACAAAAATGGGCAAAATTCATGTATGGTAATTCAGCTATAATTAAGCACCTCCAGATCTGAAGTCATGGCACTCTACTAGAAAATGGTGGATTGCCAACTCTGAGTTGGGAGTGATTAGCTGCCAACAAGAAACCTGAGTTCAAGTATCTTGGGGTCTTGTTTACAAGGGTAAGATGGAACACGGGATCGACAAGTAGACTGGTGCCATGCCAGCAGTCAGGTGCATGCTTTACCAAGCTGTCTTGGCAAAGAGGGACCTGAGCCTGAAAGCCAAGCACTGGATTTACAGGTCGATTACATTCCAGCCTTCCTCTATCATGATGGTCTCTGTTCACTTTGGTTTGAAAGAAAGTAACTGCCACAAGTGAGGATAAGATGGAATGTGAGATTGACAGACAAATGGGTGCGGCACCAACTGTAAAATGGACATGTGCCAGACTGTCATGGTCGAGTCAAAGCTCTTAATTTACCAGTTGATCTACTTTCCAACCCTAAATGATCGGTAATGACGAAAATAATGAGATTATGGAACCTACAAGTGTCAAAGAAGGTAGAAACTCGGAGTGGAACCACTGCTCCTTCCCATCATAAGGAACCAGTTGAGATGGTTTGGGCATCTGATTAGGATGCCTTCTGGACACCTCACTTCAGAGGGTTTCCGAGCTGGTCCAACTGGGAGGGTAGACACAGAACATGCTGACGTGAATACATATCCCAACAAACTGGGGCATATCTTGGGATCCCCCTAAGGACTACCTGGAGGATGTGACTAACAAGAAGTACGCATGGTCTACCCTGCTTAGCCTGCTACCATTGCGGATGGTATGATGCGGATGGTATGATGCGGAGCTATGATCAGCCAACACAAGGGGAATATATTGTAAAGCAACTGTTTCCTGCCACTGTAAAATCTTTTTCACTAGTAATACTATTAGGAATATTACAGTAGCAAATGTTTAATGAAACTAATCTACTTATTCACTTCCAAAGGCACACTATGAAACTTTTTTTCAAATATTATAGGGCTATTACACAGACTTTTACTGGAGCTATAGTAGACTTAAGGTAAACTGCCCCAGGGCCCCGGACCCCAATGGATCCCTAAAAGCCTCAGATTCATGGCTATACGTTTGTGGTCATTTGAGTAATTACAATGGGAATACCAGAATATGAGCTACATTATCAGCACACTATCAGCTGACATTGTAAGGTGGGTCCTGGTTTACTACCTAATCTTGAAGCCCTGTCTGGAAGTGGTTGTTTCAGACCATCATTATTTCAGCTGATATTGTGAAGCCCAAGATTAAACTTCAATCAAATTACCACACACCAGTATAGGAATACTATTATACCATGTACAGTAAGTGCTCATATTAAATTAAATTAAATAAAATGGTGCTAATGTTAAACATTTGTGGCAGTCCCGCCTTATGTTAGCTGATTATACATGATTATCATGTCAGAATCAGAATCATGAGAACACAGTTTGGGTTATGTTATCACAAAAAAGATTCTGTGCCAAGATAAAACGATTTTATAAAAAGATCTTTATAAATAGATCACAAAAAATATTCTGTGATCATGAGGAAACATAAAAATAAATACTCCCATGGCCTTCCAACCTTCCATATCTTCACTCGTGGCAGCAAATAATAGGGCATCAGTTTAGATGAGTGGTGACTTTCTTTGGTTACAAACAATAGGGTAAAAAGATAGTTGTCTTTTTATTTTGTTATACTCCCTGCAATATGTTGAGGATTATGGCAACTCTAATAGGTCTTTCCAAAAATATTAATAATTTTAAAAACTGTCTGTTTAATCATTTATTTCCTTTTTGTAAAACTTTTTAAAGATTTGACTCATCATTTATATTTCTTCAGCAAAGGCCCAGTCATCCTCACACCTAGAAAATTGCATACCAGAAGAAGAAGGTGGTCAAAGTCAAGATAAAAGCTGGTCAAGGCAACGGGGAGGTAAAACAGTTCTATTTATGTGTTTTTTCCAAAAAGATATTCCTGTCTGGCTCAGACAAATTGTCCTGCGTCACACCCTGTATATGGGCATTTAAAGGGAGATTTAGGGAGTGTGTGGGCTGTGCTATGGATGCGAAAGGGGCAGTTAACCATGACAGAAATGTTACATTTTGGGCCTGCCTCTAGCAGAAATCACATATGTTGATGATAATGTAGGTGTCCCAGAAAAGAATGGACAGGTAGGTGGAGGCCAGTGAATGTGAAGTAGAGTATCATTTCCTCCACCAAGTTCATTATTTTGTATATGGCTACACATCAGTGTTTGGTATTGTGCTTATACCATGGCCACTTACCAAATGAACACATCTGCAGCAATGCTAGCTGCTTTGTAAAGCTAGGCACAGCAATGCGTTGAGCTGAATCAGCATGCTAACATACTCACAAAAAAGTATAATCTTTATTCTGTTTGCCATCTTGGTTTAATATGTTAGCATGCTAACATTTGCTAATTAGCAGTAAGCAGAAATTACAGCTAAGGCTGATAGGAATGTCAATAGTTTTGCAGGTATTTGGTCATATAACAAAGTGTGAGACAAACTTAAATGTTGACCATCAAAAGTTTTACAATTAATCCTGAGGGGAACATGAATATGTGTCAAATTTATGGACTAAATTGTGGGCCAATCCATGCCATAGAAGTGTAATTCCAATCCAATTCCACTAGATAAGTAAAAACTTAAGCTAGGCCTACTGGTGGCACATGAATCCTGTGGTGACCATGTCTGTACTAAATTCCATGAAAATCCAATAAATAGTTTGTTATCATATTATCAAATAGTTTCATCAGTCTGAGCTCATGGTGGACAAACATGCCAGCTGACATTGCCATTCATGGACCTCAGAGTGCATAGGTAACAAACTGAACCGAAGGAACAATGTTTGAGGTGTCCTGATTTTAATGGACAAGTGTCAGTCATGCAGAATCCAGTAGGTACTGTCCTTGGCCATGATATAACCCACAATATTGTATACATGTCTAGACAATACACTAGAGATTAGTGCATTAAACATGACTGAACTGAACACTGGTCTTGTTTTGTGACCGGGAACACTATTTAAAAGGTTTTTGTCCGCTAATATTAGTGATGGTTAAAACTTGTACCTCTGTTAATTCTAACAAAGTTACTTTCATTTTACTCTTTCTCCCTGCGTTAGCTGAAGCCAGTAGTAAACTGCACAGTAGTCATTTTAACAAGCATTAGCATTTTGTTTGGCATTATGCTAGTGATCTACAAAAGTAAGCATAGGTTTCACTTACAGCTTCAGAAGTTAATCATTTCTGTTAAAATTTTATTGCAGCATTTAAGTGAAAATATTAAATTAGTAACATATATATACAGTCAAAGATTTGAAACAAAAAAGACAAAAGCTAAGACATAAGCTTGACCATAATGAAGGATAAATTGTCAGCCATTTTGTGACTGAGCATGTTCATTTCACTAGCAGGCTTTGCTTGTTGTTTCTGCAGAGATTTGTTGTTGATGTTCCTAAGGTAGTACTAGTTAATAGAAGCACCCATCAACATTAGAGTGATGGGATCTGTAAATTACCCCTATTTGATCCTGAACTATTCCTTTTCATTCTAACGTAGACACAACCTGTCTGTGTAGTTTTAATAAAGTGCCTTCAGAGTTGTGCAGATTTAGTAACCCAACTCAGCTTGTGTACATATTTAGAAGGTTCATATTTACAGAAAGAACAGAGATGAAAGGTTTGAGATGTCCTAAGGGTACTTAAATCTTTTCTTCAAAGAATAGCATTTGCATGTTGTTTTTAGGTTTTAGGTTACATAACTGCTACCGGTGTGAGAAAGCTCCCCCCAAGTTCATCACTCCTATTACACCCTTCCATGTCATACAAAATACAGAAGGTGGACATAATCAATCACAAACACTTGTAATCATTGTGATGAAACTTAAATTCAAGCTAAGCTAATAAGGTGATAATTCATCTCTATTGTCTCTTTTGAGGATATAGTTTGTTGTGTTTATTATTTATTAGAGTTTCCGGCTAAAATTTGCAGGACTCTGGATTCACTTGCTATGGCTTTCAGACAGAGGTCAAATTCTGACCCACAAATTTGCACCATCTTTTGGAATTTGTGTACCATCTTGAATGTGCTGACTCCCCATTGAACCCATTTTGGATTGGGTCTCTTTTTAAATTTAATTTGTGTTAAATTTGGGTTTGGTTATGTTTTGTCCGCTATGGATCAGGTCCAAAATTTCTGGATTTATGTATATTGGGGGCAATTAATATTAATATTATTTCTCAAAATGTCAGCATTAGAAATGGTACTTAAAATGACAGTCAAGTTGACACCAATTGAATATTCAAAACTTTAAAAATTTACTATTCATCACCTATTGCAGCTGATTACATGATGTATTCATGATTTTATATCCACGCCCTATATTTGTTTGTGTATTGTTGAATCTAACTTACTGCATTCTTATAAGTTGTTTTGTTTTGTAGAAACTACATTTTGTTTGCTTGATTTCTATCTCCTCAATACAGAGGGTTGTGTTTTTCTGCTAAGTGTAAATGAGTTGTGTCCATTCCTTGTTGTTTAGACCATTGTCTTCTATCCATTCTGGCTCCTTCATCTTCTAACCCTTTCCATCCACCTTCTGTAACTAGATGACATCTGACTCCACCACGCATTGCTCGGTGTACTCCTTCACCAGCTCCAGGCTCAAGTTGTTGTGGCAGAATTCTGCCATGGGCTTCCAGAGTGGTGGGTCCAGGAACATCTGGCACATCACGTGACCCTTCAGGGTGGCAGTGTGGCGCTGCAGGTGGCACAAGAACTGCTGCCGAGCCAGGTCCAGGTCTTTACCGAACATGTCAATGTTCAGATAATACCTACAAACAAATATTGTACCAGTTGAAGGAAAATTATAGTAAGTAAGTAAGTGTTAGTGCATCTTAAATAAATAAGTTACATTCATTAGATACTACACATAATGATGTGTAGTATCTAATAAATTTGAAACTTGGGCGCCCCCCAGTGGTACAATCAAATGATGCTATGGTACACAACAGTGCACACCACTACATTGTTGTACAGTTCCTTATGGACAATAGTTGTCCCTGACTTAACTTGCAATATTTGCTTAGAATTAAATAAAGACAGTTACCAGTCGTCTCCAATGGGAACCCTGAAAGGGAAGGTACAGAGGCTGGCCACAGTCGGGTTGAACACATCATCCACCATCCAGTCAATGTCCTTCTTCAATAGGATGGCCATGTTGCTGGGCAAAGGCTTGAATGGCTGCCAGTCTTGAATGATGGTGGCATTAGGAAGGACTCCTTGCATCAGGTCAGTGGTCAGATACAGTCGGTGGATGGCTGTATGGTCAAGACGCACCGGAGGAGGGTTGGAGGAGGAGGTAGACAAAGAGGATTGGATGTCTCCACCCAGACCAAGTTCAGACAGACGAAGCTTGAGGTCTTCAGCTCTGAAGCGCACCAGCAGAATACCCTGTAGAAAAGAAAGGCAATGCATGAAACAATAACAACAGCCATTAAGCAAAACAAAGAAAGAACCTTTTGTCTGCTTTTGTTGCTGGTACCTGCTTGGTTATTATGCGATACTTCTGGAAATCCTTGGGTCCAAGCTGATCATCACGGGTCAAGCGGGTTACTTTGACCTCTGGATGCTTGGATTTGACCAGCTCAGAGCAAAAGCGCAGCAAAACTCCTGCCACACCCTTGCCCCTTTCCTGAGGGGCGACACGAAGACCTTCCACGAGCATGGTCTCCCCATCATCAATCACACACACCGACTCCAGGGCAATCTGCCGAGCATCACAGAGGGAGAAGGAAGACCAAAACAATTACAAATGATCACATCGACATAGTCGATTTTAAAACTGCACACCAATCCTGAAGCTGGGGCGAAGCAGTATTTCTATTCCTATTTATTAAAATTCCTATTTCGCTGTTTTAGGGTGAGGTGGCCATAGACAAAGCAACATGCCAGCAAAACCACATTGTCTGCAAAGAGTATGAGGTGGTTCTGCTGGTCATCAGGTCGGGACCTCCAGTGCACACTGTGGCAGTTTACAGCCTATAATGAAGTTGCGTTAACGAGATTCAAGACCTCCTGTTTTGAGGCGATGGTACCATGGTAAAACAGTGGATTGCTCTCTTCAGGTTGTGAGTGAGTCACTGCCCTGAGTGACTGTAAGTATCTTGGAGTCAGATGAGGGTAAAATGGAACGCAAGATTGACAAACAGATTGATACAGTGTCACTGTACTGGGCATTCATATTGAAAAGTTCATTCTAGCATATACATCTTCATCAGTGTTGGTAGTAACATATCTGCCTTCAGTAGAGAGACTGGTCTGGGGACGTGTTAGCATGGCACAAGAGTTTGAGTTGGAAGGACATACCTTGCCTCTACCAAATAAAGTGGGACGCAACTCCCAGTACTTCCAAAGTTGTCTTATTTAAATGTTATGTGTTCTTAGCTAGCATGGTAAAGCTAGCCACAGGTACACTTACATTAGTTTTGTGTAGAGTTGGAGGGTGTGTAAGCTCACTTCTGAGTACATACATACATACAGTACATGTTTACTCAGACCCTCACAGGGATGGGAGGATGACGAGACTTGCGTCACACTGATAATTCAAACTGAGTATAATAAGGTGAACCGTGGGCAAAGATCTCCTAAAAAGGTTTGTTTGCCATAAAAGTCTAAATACTAATACGAAATATGCTAAAAAGTGCATACTCTTTACAAGTATGTTTACATTTGTATGGACAAACTTCTGCCATGCACACCTTCTGCAGGATTGCCAAAAACAAATAAGAAGCACAATGATACCCGACTTCCTCATAGACTTAATAGACTTCTGTATTTTCTTAACTTTACTTAACTAACATAATTGTAAAATATTTTTGCACTGTTCATTGAACTTACCACTTTTCCCTGTTTGCGGGCCAATATGACTGTGCGGTTAGTCTCCTGCAGCCAGCTGGTGTATCTAGTGGGCAGGTAGTCAAGGCCTCCATAGATGTCCTGACTCATAGCCATGATGTCATCAAAGTCCTCCTCAGTGGCCACAGAAAACTGAAGGCCTGCCTGGGACAGGGCCTCTGGAAGCTGGGGCATAGTTAGGCTGGTATCAATCTTCATCTTGAAACAACTGATGAGATAAAAAGTAGAGAAGACATTAGTGTATTTATTCACTGTCTCAGAGCAGTCAAAAATGGCCTGTCAAAAGTCGTACCCAACTGGTTCTACTACAGAAGTACAAACATTTTACAATTTTCTTAAACTAGGATTTAGGAGAGCTCAAGAGCTGTCCTAATCCTACAGGTAGAACATAATGTGTGGTGCAGAAATACACAATGTGCATGTTATGATTAAAAGATAAGTCTACTTGGATAACAGCTGTTTGTGACATGATGTAATCGCTCTGACAACAGAAAACATCCCAGTCCACACAAAATTAGCATCTTGGTGCTTGATTATACAACATACAATATATATCTGCCACTGATAGCAACAGAGTGATATAATGGAAAAAAAAATAATGGCTCAAGGCACAAAGGGAAATATATTCCAAGTCCATCAATATCACAGTATTGTAACTGAATGTATTATCCAAGCATGAAACATACTGTGAGCAGTCTGTGAAAGCAGAGAAACAGCAGTGGTAAAGCATAACCACAATCTTAATTTTAGGGAAAGCATGTCCTCATTTAGCATATGGGGACATCTTAAAGAGTAACCTGGCTAATAATCCTGATTGTGCTGCCATCAAGTAGTTGCTGCAGGATCCGTTCATCCCTTTTGCATCCCACTGTGCAAATGTGAGCCCAAACAGCTCTCACAACTCAGTTTGGCATCCATCATCATGAGAAACTATGGAGCACATTGTTGCATATGTTACAGTGCTCCACCTATGCCAAGACATACCATAATATACTCAATAGACTTTAAGGCTATTAATGGCCAATCACTGCTCCCATGCGATTCCCACACCACAACAGTGGCAGCAACATCACACTCATCATGGTAACCTTTACCAAGGGTTCCCAAACTTTTTTATGCCAAGGCCACCACATAAGATGCCCAATAGTCCACAGACCCCCCAATTTCAAAGGATTTTGTCTTAAGTCTTAAAGTCTTCAAATCAATCAATCAGTGATCAAATTGGGATCACTATAAAGTACAAGCAATAAAAAAAAGGCAACCCCATTTCTTTCTGTGCTGTCCTAACTTTAAAAAAATGTGATACAAGTTAAAATATTGTATTTTTCCTTTTACTAAGGACCCCCTACAACCCACTCAAGGACCCCAGTTTTATAACCACTCACCTACACTAGCAGTGTATTAGAGGCTGAACTAACCCTAACCTTTCAGATGGATGGAAGTTAAGTACATGAAGGAGCCAGGATTAAGACAGGATCAGGCCTTGGGAGTGGATAAGCAGTTGGGAGGAACCTGTATTTAATGGCAATTTCACCTTGGGGTAATAATGTGTGACTATTTATTTAACATAGATTTAAAAAATAGGCCTTATTTCAAAAACTACAAAATATAGGCTTGGGTCATTACAGAAACCTAAGCATTAACTTATCAAGTCAAAAAGCAGTTTGTACTTGGAGTGGGAGTAGAGTAGAAGGACGACCCAGTAGAAGGATGAGATTGGTTCTGGAATGAATAACCAGGAGGACAGAAAGAAAAAACACCACAGACAAAACATCCCCATAAACTCAACTGCTGACTACCACACTTTGAATCAGCAGAAACACAGTCATGGTTTCTCCAAACAAAGATGACCGCCAGGAGAGATAAGGTAGGTAGCTGATTAGATTACCTATTCTTTAATCAAGAAGTAAACGAATAAAGAGAGGTATGCAGGGGAGGTGGATTAATAGATCAGAGGAACAAAAAAAAGCACAAGACAAACAAAAAGATGAGATAGGTTGAAAAGAATGGAAGGCAGAAACAAACAAACATGGGATGAAACAGATAAATAACACAGGAAATGGAAAACTGGAACCTATCTTGATACCTATGTCTCTTCCCATAAATCCTGTAAATCCATTATCTCAGCCCCCTAATCCATATAGTAATACCCTCTGATACCCACTCCACATTGTAAACATGGTGTTTATCCTTAGATTGGCCGAAGGATTCACAGAATTTCATAGACAAGATAGGAGCACAATAGTTTCCTCAAACAGTTACACCTTAAAAGCCTGCTGTGCCTATAATACTGTTACTTCATCAGACAGATATTACTTGTGTGTAAGGTACTTGGATTGGGTGGAGGGTCACTGGAGTGGGTACACAAATTTCTGGTGTCCTGGCAGTGTTCCATGTGTTGTGGGCGCAAACAAATTGAATATTGGACAATATTGGACAAAATCGATCCTCAGAGAATACAGGTACCAAGTTTTAGGGCTCTGCACTTGGGAAAACAAAAACAGGATGCTCGCTGTTTTTTTTTTTTTTTGCATTTAATTAAGTTGCTAAACAATGCATTAACACATGTGTACAGTGTGATTAAATAAAATAAAACAAGCTTGTGCAAAAAGAGAACATGCAACATAATATAAGAAGCCATACAAAAGAGAAGCGGTACAATATCATAAGATACAACAAAATATGATCAAACAGAATAACGTAAAGGTAGGGCTGGGTATAAAATCTCAATAGTTTTGGAATATTGACCAAAAAGTATTGAAAGTTGCCCCCATTGATCGAACATGTTGAACAAAAAAAAATACATTGTTAATGTGATTCCGTATTTCATGTAGGCAAAATTCTTAACATCTATTTTTGTTAAAGGCATACTATGCAGGATTTTTCTATTGCTGTTTGTAAACACACCATTCAAAGTTGGCCAATCCTCAGCAGGGAAGAACAAGGTAGACAGTGAATGAGAGTTAAGGCGCACTGTTTACGAGAACAAAGTAGAGAATCAATGAAATACATTTTATTTTCTGATTGTCTTACAGTGATTACATTCTAAAGCACCTCTGTAATAATGTGTGACTATTTATTTAACATAGATTTAAAAAAATAGGCCTTATTTCAAAAACTACAAAATACAGGCTTGGGTCATTACAGAAACCTAAGCATTAACTTATCAAGTCAAAAAGCAGTTTGTACTTCTACCTTCCCAGGTTTTAAGGTTTGTAATAGTAAACATTTACTTAGAACTGAAATGGGAGTAGAAGGATGAGATTGGTTCTGTAATGAATAACAGAAAGAAAAAACACCACAGACAAAACATCACCATAAACTCAACTGCTGACTACCACACTTTGAATCAGCTCACCTCTAGACAGAAGGTGTACATTGCTGCATCTAGTGTCTGTCGGCTGGGTGGGGCTGAATTACACCAGCAGAGACAATGCAGATACAGACACTAGCAGGTCATAAGTGATGATTGAGAGGGATAATGTTTTTGTATGAGTCTATACATTGTCTTTTAATTAAAAAAAACATGGGTAAAGTGGTACTTTAAAATAAGTAAAATAAGTCCCTTTTTGGAATTTTATCACGTTTTCGCTAAGTTTGGAATTCTGAATTGCCTATGCACAGCAGTCGTCACTGCTAACTCTACTGTTGGCTGGGGAAGATGACCCACAGAATAATGCATGGGTGATTCACTTCATGTTATCCCCCAATGTGCTGACCAGTAAGAATGCAGTACTATTACAGTAACATGGTAAATGGTAAATG